TCACTGCGAAGAAGTTTAACACCAAGGATGGCATTGAGAGCAGTAATTCGGTCACAGACGGGAAGCAGGATCAGTTCACGTTGCATGACTTCTATTCTGGTGGTCATAGGGCAGCCGAGGATGAGTCTCATCCCTCTGTTTTGGATTTTCTCTATGCTTTGTTTCTCGTGCTGGGAGGCAACTACAAGGACAGGTGAGGCATAATCTATGACAGCTCTGACGATAGCAATGTATGAGACGTAGGACCCTGACAGAGGCTCCTTTGAGGCCGTGAGTGAGGGACTGGAGGGGCCTCATTCGTTGGCGGCACTGGGAGATGACGTGGGCGGCGACAACGGAGGTGGTGGCTCTGGTAGTGGCTCGCACAGGTAGACCAAGTTACCTGTAGGTGCGTACTAGATCGATGTCTTGTCCTTGCAGAATCAGCGGTGTCTGATGACGGAAGCGTGAGCTGAACTTGGTTTTAGTGTGAGAGATGACTAGCCCGACTGTTTGACAGGTCCGGGCGAACGTGGAGAGTATAGGTTGTTCATGTTGCACTGTAGTAATTTGGAGGAGAATATCATCAGCATAGCTTATGATGTGACCGTCTAGGGCGCGCTCAGCAAAGATGTCGTTGAGGCGTCAGATGGAGTTCATGAGAACATTAAAGAGTGTACGGCTTAGTACATCTCCCTGAGGCGTTCCAAGATCAAGGTCCCTGATCGTAGAGTAGTGGCCCTGAAAACGGACAGGGGCCTGTCGATGAGAGAGGTAGTCAGCAATCCACGTGAGAAGTTTGCCCTTCATATCCATGTGAATGAGGTCCTCAAGGATCACTTCACTGTTGGCTTTATGAAAAGCACCCTTGAAATCGACGAAGAGGGAAATTTTGGCTGAGGTGTTTGCCATGTAGTGAGCGATGCAGTGAGCAGTGCTCTTTCCGGGGCGGAAACCACAGAGTAGTGGATGAATGGAACAAGTTACCAAATATCATCATTAACTCGAATACGCTGAATTGCTTCAAACATAAGTTGGATGCTCATATGAGCAATAGAGGTTGGGTGTAAACGGGACTGCCCAGTATGGGCCAATAGGCCAGCTGCAGTTTCCTCCATTCTTATGTTCTTATGTTCTTAGGCCAGGGTGCAGGTGGGTTTCAATTTTCCAGTGGAGGCGGTGGCGTATCATGCGCTCCATCATCTTTGAGAAGCAGGAGATGAGGGAGATTGGACGATATTCATCTTGTCTGCCTGGTTTCGGGACTGGGATGGTGGTGGCAGTATCCATAAATGAGGCAGCTGACCAGTATCAAAAGAGAGGTCAAATAGACAGAGGAGGGGGTTACCTGGGGTGGCAATAAGGGCATTTAACACATCATATGTGACGCCGTCATCGCCAGGGGCGGTGAACCGACCACGCTTAACAGCATTTAGTAGTTCACACTGTGTGAAAGGCACGTCAGTGTTTGCAGATAGGTCTTGGTACTCGAAGATGCGCTGTCGGCGTTGTGGTTGCAGTGCGAGGGTGAGGTCTTGTACAGCGGGTGGTAGCGCATCAATGGTCTGGGAGAGCGCCTCAGCTCGGGCAGCTCGTCTGGGGTCGAGCGCGGGTCTAGCGTTGGTGCCCCGTGCACGGTTAATAGTGCGCCATATATCACCTATAGATGTAGACTGGTCAATAGAAGAAGCAAAATCAAACCACTGCTCCTCTCATGCGAGAGTGATGGCAGATTGGAACTCTTTATTTGTGCGCATTAGGACGCGTAGAGCGTCAGGGGAGTTGGGGGATTTCTGCCACTGGTCAACTGCTAGTCGGTGCCATACTCGGATAGACTTAACATGAGGGTCGCGGTTAACATTCCTCTGACTCCTGGGCTGGCGGTTAGGGTGGCGGTGTTTTGGGACAGGGCGGAGAAGGTCAGTGCATTGTTTGGACAGATCAAGGTAGAGTTGGTCTGCGGTGGTGACAGTGTAACCCTGAAACCATTCAGCAATGGTAGTGATGAAGGCAGGTATATTGGCAGGGGGTAGGCTGAGCCTAGGGCCCTTGGGTAGAGCGGGTATTCTCACGTACTGGAGGGTAGTGTGGATAGGGAAATGGTCACTGTGGGGGGAGTGGAGGATGCGGGTGGAGTGTGGGCGGTGAGGGTCAGAGTAGAGATCGATCTAGTCAGGTTTCCCTCCCCCGATGTGGGTGGGTGATGGAGGGCAGAGAAGACGTACAAGGTCATCAGTGGTTTGTAGGTAGGAGAGCCAGGAGTTACCCCGGGAGCTTGAGTGGGGCCCCTGGGAGCCGAGACTGGGGTGTCGGGCATTGAGGTCCCCCACAAGGAGGGTTGGGGTGGAGGTGATAGGGTGTGGTAGCACAGGTACAGTAGGGGTGGAGGGAGGCACATAGACATTGACAATATTGAGGGACATACCTTTTAGTGTGATTGTGATGGCATGTGCGTCGGTGGTGTAGTCATCAAGGGGGACGTCGAGAGGTTGGTAGGGGACATCCTTCTTGACGTAGATCCGTAGTCCACGTGCATGGCTTCGTGGCAGTCCATCGATGCGGAGAACAGGGGTGGATGGGCTGTCAACACATGTGTAGCCACTGAGCACATAGCTACCAGTAGCACACCATGTTTCTTGGAGGCACTGCACGTCGACGTCTTCAGTTTAGACGTAGGTTTTGAGGGCACCAAACTTGCTTTGCAAGCCGTTTATGTTCCAGGTGAGTACCTGCAGTCCTGTAGCGTTGCTATCCATTGTGGTGTATGAGACTGATTACCCCTGACGTGGACGAATAGGCCTTAGGTGCCGGAATATCGGTGGAGTATGGGTAGCCTGGGGTGGAGTCCTTAGGCCCAATAGGTAGCCCTGGTGGAGACAGCACAGACACATTAGCGGGCGCATCTTGCGGTGGGTAGACAGGTTGAGGCACCACGTGACGTGAAGATGAGGCAGGGCTTGGCTCGGGGGCAGCAGTACACACAACCTGTGCACAGGGGGGCTCAAAGGGGGACTTCCAGCTTGTGTCAAACCAAAAGAGGGCAGTGACTGGGTGGCAGCAAAGGGCAAGAGTTGGCGGTGTAGGTCGGAGATGGCGGTACAGAGTGTAACGAAGAGTTTCTCAACATGACTGGTAAATTCTTGGAAGAGGGACATGATCTGTGTCATATCACTGGAGAAGGGTTGTGGGGAGCACTGGTTGGGGCACAAGGCTTTACAGCGTCAGGGTAGAGACGGGGTTGTGGGGGGCACTGGTTGGGGCACAAGGCTTGACAGCGTCAGGGTAGCGACGGGGTTGTGGGGCGGGGGGCGCTGGTTGGGGCACAAGGCTTGACAGCGTCAGGGTAGAGACAGGGTTGTGGGGGCACTGGTGGGAGCACGGGGCTTGATAGCGTCGGAGTAGAAACGGGAGGAGGGCCAGTAGTGGTTGAGTTAGGGAATGGTAGGTGCTAGTGTGGTGCAGCCTGGTGAAGCCAGGCAGGGGCAGGTTTCCCAGTAGACTTGGGGGGGGGGGCGTTGTGGTAGATGCGGCCCTTGGGGAGGCCTCTCCCCTGGGACAGAAGGGCGACTGGGGCACTACCGTGAGTCAGCATTGTGCCGGCCGCCACAGTTACAGCACCTGGGCTCAACAACATAGCCCACACCACCCCTATCAAGGTAATCTTTGATTTTCTGGGCACAAACGGTGGAGTTGTGGTTACGTGAGCAGAAGCGACATCTAGGACGATCACGTCGGCAGCAGGCAGTGAAGGTGTGACCCCAATGAGAGCAGATCACTTCTATTGTTGTTGGCCGCAGATCGTCTGCTTCTCATTCGCTACTTGAAAGCCTCAGGTCGTCTTCTAAGTTGTTCAGTAAAGCAATCTTTTCTTCTCTAGCTAAAGCCTTCATAGGTTTCTGCCCACCACTCTCCCCAGGCATTGTGCAATGCTTGTCTTCGGTCACAGGTGAGATTGAGAGGCAACGGCGTCACTACCACGTCATACAACGTCACGCTCTTCGCACTGCGCATGCGCAGATGCGAAAATAACCGACTCGAGGGTTCAGGCAGAAAGTCCAGATATTTTATACAAAATATTGTCTAAGTCCAGCAACTATAAATTTCACGAGCAACACTGTGCTTACAACTGGGCTCCACTGTAGTTCTCTAAACAGACTGAAGGTAGTCGTCTCACTAAATTCATCAGAATTGGGAATTGTAGGGAGAGCTCACTCGCAGCCTTTGTTGACGTTTCACAGAGCGCATGTCGAATGTGACTTCATAATAAGGAAGCGCAGGTAACAGTGTTATTATTACTGGGATTCCTAACCTCCAAAAACAGTTCTAAGACAGTATCAACACCGAGTATTCGGAGTCGGGAGAACATTTACAGGGAATTTACCTTCATGATTAAGTCAGTAAGTTCGCCCATACAAGGAGAGTGTGTTAGTTCATCTATCTATATAAAACAAAGAAGTATGTATGTTTGTTTGTTTGTGGTGTGTTTGTGTGTATGTCCGCACGAGAATCTTGGAAACTACTTTACCGATCTGTAGTGATGATAGATGGTGTTATATGTAGTGATGATAGATGGTGTTATATGTAGTGATGATGGATGATGTTATATGTTATATGTCCGCACGAGAATGTCAGATGGATGATGTTATATGTAGTGATGATGGATATTGTTATATGTAGTGATGATGGGTGGTGTTATATTTAGTGATGATGGATGTGTTATATGTAGTGATGATGGATAGTGTTATATGTAGTGATGGTGGATGATGTTATATGTAGTGATGATGGGTGGTGTTTTATGTACTGTTGATTAGACAATAAAATAATAACAGTTTAATGTTAAAAAAATACTTTGCATTAACGTTGTAGTGAAAAACATGGTGGAACTTGCATACACCGTTAATGAACTATTGATAGAACAAGAAGTGTAGGGGACTCAACAGAGACAATGTGGAGCCTCCCGGAGGGTGGCGTCCAACCGTTGCCTATCGGATGAGCCGCCAGGAGGGCAGCGATTCTGCTAGTAGACATAAAAGGCAGCGGGCAAGAGGAACTCGTCAGTCTTGCTGGTGGCGGCGCGACGCTGGGTACATACACATTCCACACTGGTTCCATTTTCGCCGTCTAAGCTAAGAATACTACTGTGTCAACTATAAACAGGTAAGGTCAGTTTTATCCTGTGTGTGTATATATACAGTATATATATAAATATTTATATATATATTTGTATATATATATAAATATATATATATATATATATATATATATATATATATATATATATATATATATATATATATATATATATATATATATATATATATATATATATATATATATATATATATATATATATATATATATATATATATATATATATATATATATATATATATATATATATATATATATATATATATATCCTCTAGCAGCTTACTTCAAGTGTAGGGAAATTACTGTAGGTATTTGTATTGGAGGGCCTTAAGGGCTCTCATGAGGGAAGAGTAATGTGTGTTGGTTGTTGTGAGTCAGGTGTAGCAGCTGAGTGTTGATGGTCATGAATGTTAGGTGTTGGTAGGTGGGTGTAGTGGGTAGGTGAGGGTGATATTGAGTCGTAGTATGTTGGTGGGTGGAGGCTGGAGGTCAAGGAGGGGGTAGACTGTACTCCCTTCCCGACCATCATTTTCTACGCAGCGGAGGAGGAAAAGAGTGGTGTGTGTTGGATGAAGGTCAGCTAACGTATATACTGTACAGTACGTATAGTAGGTGCCCAAACATAATGTTCTTATTCTTATATTTTATCTACCTGGACACAGTGAGCTGACTCATATACTTTATCTACCTGGACACAGAGAATTGACTCATATACTTTATCTACCTGGCACAGTGAGGGCGATGGCTGGATACCTTCACCTGATAACCAACATAACCCCAAGGTGCATTGGTCTATAGTTCATAAGTTTATCATCTTAGATTAACTTTAATAAAACATCTGATTGAGGAGATTAACGTCACCATTAAGAATTAATTTCAGTTGAAAATCTTATAGAGTTCATGGTTTTACCTCTTAACAATTGCATCGACTAAACACCCAGGATAATTATCTAACATCACGAGTCTAGGAGATATTAAAGATAAGTTTAATCTTAGCCAGAAAATTGCGATATACACCATAATTATGATGGAATGTAAGTTTTTATATCCTCGCGTATGTGGGGAGGCACGTGAAGGGAGGCGTGTAGAGGAGGAAGGGAGGCGTGTAGGAGGTGGAGTGGCGTGGGGAGGCGAGCAAAAAGCGTGGGGTGGTGTGTAGGGGTGGAGTTGAGTGGGGAGGCGTATGGTGATCGGTGTTTAATATGATTTGGGAGACGAAATTACCTTGATTTTTTGTACATGGTTTGTATGTCTCGGAAAACCTTATTGAGTAGTTCATAATGTTTGATGTTTGATATAGCGTCTGCCTTTGTACAACAAATACATTTAAAAATTGCAATATACTTTTTGAGAACTCATCGAGGCTGTACAGTGTTAAGAAACGTGACACAAACAATTCATCAGACAAAATTCTTTAGGACTAAATCTTGTCTACTATTTTATGGGAGAAAATATTACAAATGAATCTTTCACTTAATAAAATAACAAATAGATCTAAGATAAATAACACCTGATGAAAATAACACTGAAGCACTAAGGACATATTATGACCAGAGTCAGAGAACATATACTTGTATATCCATATTCATGACGTCAGAGAGTTCATCAAGGCAACGAGTGTGTGTGAGGTTGTCCACATATATAATGCTGCCATCACGAGGAACTCCTCAGTCTGTGCTTGCTGGCTTCAAACACACACATTGGATCGAGTTGGTCCGCCCTAAATAACACTATTCTCACCTAGGAACAGGTGACTTGGAAGGGTTTAAGGGCTCAAAAGAGTATTGAGTGTTGGTTGGTGAAGGTTGTGTGTGTTGATGGTTGTGTGTAGCGGCTGAGTGTTGATGGTCATAAACGCTAGGTGTTGAGAGGTGAGTGTAGTGGGTAGGTGAGGGTGATACTGAGTGTAGTATGTTGGGGGGTGGAGGTTGGACGTCACGGAGGGGTAGAGGAAGTTGGGGTGAGCAGTGGTGTGTGTGTGTGTGTGTGTTGATTTGAGGTGAGTTGACTCATATACTTTGTCTGGATACAGTGAGTTGACTCATGTACTTTATCTACCTGAACACACTGAGCTGACTCATATACTTTACCTACCTGGATACAGTGAGGGTGATGGCTTGCTACCTGATCTGCCTGACGTGGGTGTTGCTGCTGGCGCTCTGCTACACGCCCGCACCTGCTCACTCAGGTAGGCACTTCTCACAATTCTAGAACTGTAAGAAAACATTATGATCTTCATGTTGTGATACGTGTACTACAGTAGTTACTTATATATGGCCATGCAGTAAAATGAAGACGAATACTCTGTTATCTGTACTACGCTGAAGATTCTTATTTTAAAACATTGTGTTGTGATGCCATTCTGCACAGAGAACTTGGGGCTGTCAAGAGGCCATGGAAACAGACACGTCCGGCAGGCACAGATGGACAATGTTGCTTACTATGACGGTGGAGTTGATGCAAAGAACCCCAACTCGGTAATGTTAAAATTTCTTGCTTTTGATTATTTTTAATTTGTGGACAAATTTTTTTGATATTATCTTGAAAGTTTTACTTTAAATTGTAGCTGAGAGGAGATATTTTATCTTGATTTGTTAAAAAGTAGCAGTTTTAAACAAATTTATTCTGTTTTTTTAAGATCTTGACGAATATGAAGAAGAGGACAGAATTTTACAACACTCTAACTCAATTCATTAATAGTGTTACCCAGTTTATATGGACGGATAATGTGTTAATTACTTAACATTAATAATAGTAAAGTATGTGTGTGGTTAGTCCTGTGTTTAATATTTGTTTGCTGTTGTATATCAGGCGTGTTTGTGTCTGCATTTATGGAATATTAAGTTTTGAGGTCAGGAAGATGGCGACCATAGAGGAGACAAAATATAACAATATTACAGAATAAATCACGACATAAAATATTATTATTTGGTACTATATTATTATTGTATTATATGTCGTCTTACATACAGTATTGTGGCTAATATGGTGTTTCCTTTTTTCACTACAGGGAGCGATAGTACACGACCCGAACAGTAATTACCGACCACCAGTGGTGTTTGGTCCCAGACCTAGACCACGGCCCACCTGGCACTACAACCAGTACAACCAACACAACAACCGGTACAACCAACACTACAACCGGTACAACCAACACTACAACCAGCCATATTGGTACTATAGAGGATAGCTGCTGGTACTACACCTGCAGCTACCACCACCATCTTTACTAATGCTGAGTTGCACCCCACCTCTGACCCGGGGAGGGCAGGTCCTGTCTAAAAACACAGAACCTCGTCCTGTGTACAGTCAACCTTCACTCTCTGAGGGCCAACGTAAACTGACATTCATAACAATGATCTACTTTTGTCTTCTTAGGTTAACTTTGATTAAAAATCTGATAGTGGAGATTAACGTCACCTTTAAGGAATAGTTTAAACTAAACAAACTATGTGGAGTATAATAGCTTTATTATGTGGAGCTTTATAGCTTTACTATGTTGAGTTGAATCCTTCCATTTATTTTAACAATCACTGCTGAATGTTCTTTAACGTGAGTCTGCCAGGTTCCTTGGAAGTATCATTAATAAATGTTTATGGGTTAAATTATTAAACCCAAATGGTCTTTTCTCCATTTATTAAGATAAACTAGTGCACAAATAATTATAATATCACCGTAATTAACGCTTTGAGCTGTGAGCGTTACTAAAAATAAAAAACTGATATGTATCTGAGGTTCAGGAGCCTCACGTGTATCGTGAGCGAGAGAGAGTGTAGGACTGAGGGTAGAGTCAAGTAACAGGCCAGGGGTCTGGTCCTTACTGTTGACATAGCCAGGCAGAGGGCTATAAGTCAGATGTCAAGAGGTCACCTGTTAGACAAAAAGATTAATTACCATACATCACTCACTTCAGTATTAGAGAGAAAATTGTAGACACTGGCTCACAGTTTACTCACCGTGGGTGTAGTAATTATATAACTTATGTAGTGCACATTAATATGAGTATTACTGTCTGTTAGACAGGGGATAATGTATAACCTAACCTAACCTAACCTAACTGTCTCAGAACGAGCTGCCGTATATAGTCGTTCAAATTAATCATAATTGTTAAGTCTCTCTACGTCTCAAGACCTTAATACAATTCTATGAGGTGATAATGAAAAGTTTTGTCTTAAGTCTTTTGATAAATTTTTGTTTGTTATAGAGTCTGTCTGTACACCCTACTTCTCTTATGAGGTAAATACTTGTTTCTTAATGTTTATGTTGTTAATACAATTGTTTATTATACGACCATTCATAAATATATTATAATTTAAATGGATTTCCTGACTGCCCCTTTCGGCTGTCCAGTACTACGAAACGAGACACTGACAATTCTTAAGAAAAAAAAAATATTTTACGGGAGAAAATATATTATAAAATAATCTTTCTTAGACCAAAATATTACCAATGAGTCTCTCACATGACAAACACAAAGGGACTTAAAACGGCGACATATATTACCAAACATTGAAGTCATGTATATCTTCCTAATAATTTTAAACTTTACATTTTAATTCCTCTTCATACTCATTATTAACCGCAATCATTATCAATTTTCCATGACTATAACTGATAATTTAAGTCTGTTGCATACAGTACCAGGACAGTATGAGTAGAGTTCAGAGTCGGAGAACTTATACAGGACAAGTATAGTGATGGCGTCAAGTAAAGGAGTGTTTGTGAGTTTACAGACATACAGTATATAAGGAAGCAAACAAGCACGAGGAACTTCTCGGTTTCGTTGATGACAGCACTGGGTTCTTACAGACACTGGAACGGGTTGGTTCACCTTAGTCTCAACTAAGGTCAATAGAAGAGTTCCATGTCCTTTGGTCTCAACTATCCATTCTTACACCGATCATTCTACTCTTCACTCTTCTACACATTTTTCCCTTCTCCCTAACTCTCAAACTAGATCTGTTTCTAGAGCTGATATCATTACACCTATCAAAGCCGATCTCTGCAGCATCTCCGACTGGAGAGGTGGAAACTTGGTTAAATTCAATAGTAATAAAACTCAGTATTTACCAATTATACTTTCTAAATTAGATGATCTCCCACCAATCACATTTCAGGACGCATTCATTCTGCCACATTCTAAAATAGATATGCTAGGCCCCACCATTTCCTCTAATATGTCATGGAAGCCACACATCCTCAACATTGCTAAAGCTGCCACCCGAAAGCTGGAAATGCTTTGCAGATGCCGTAGTTACTTCACTGCAGAGCAGTTGCTTCAAGAAGGAGATAGTTTCATAAGTTGATACGCCCATCTCTCTCCCTACATGCAAGAGAACAGGAGCGATCAAACCATGAATGACGAGTGAAAGTTTTGGTAGAAGATGGGATAAATGCACTAATCACGCACTGTATAACCCCAGCAATGTTCTCAGCACATAACGAGGCATCCCGACTAGAAATGCAACATTCAATCCCAAGGAAATTCGGAGAAGAATTCTCGCAAGGATTGCCAGCTTGCCCTCCGATAGTGCCATAGTTGACGTTTTGAGGAGATGGGGGAGGTGGTCGTGCCCAATTTGTTTTAATATAAATAAGATTGTGATCAGAAGACCCGAAGGGGGCAGAAATTTAGTATGAATAGTGTGAGGGGTTAGAGGTAAAACAAAGATCAAGAATGTTAGCAAGTTGATTTTGTCGATCAGGAACACGTGTAGGGTGTTTAATTATTTGTTCCAGATCATTAAGTAAGGTTAAACAACAACATTTATTGCGTAATGTTATGACAATATCGCTTGTCATCGTCAGACCTAAAACATGAAATAACTTACAACAGCATCGAAAAAAATAAACATGACAATAGAATGAAATATATATATTACTATGTACATTGTGAGAGAAAAAAACTTTGAAGAGACAAATCATTGAGTTATTAATTATTAGCCTTTACTTATAAAAAAGCACATATACACATTTGTTTGTACTAAGGTGCAGGCGCACTGACCGTCTGCCATAATATGTCATATTTCTAGCAAGATTGAAATAGTCAAGACCTTTTAAGAAGACACTCTAGCATCTCCAGTAACTGAGGGATGCCTGCCTGCCACTTATATTTCTGCTGTTGATCTTAGCTTGACCACTGTAAATATACCCCAGTTATTTATATAGAATTTCTAAAATAGTGATGATGTTGGTTAATGCTGTACACAAGGTATTACTCTATTGTTGTTACTGACACGAACCTTCAACATGTTCTGTCTGCTGGTGGCGTGCTGGTATTTCTGACCCCGCTAGCCATACTAGTCCAAGAGCCCAGGCACTTTTAATCATGTGTCTGAGGCCAAAAGGTTTGAGGGTCGTTTCTGAATCAGAATTTTATGCCGAATCTGAAAATCTATTTCTTAATTGCCGCAGCTGCTGCGTTTTTGGAGAAAAACAGCGTTTTTTGTTGTTTTCGCACCTTATTTTGGGGAAAAGTATAAAACAACGATTTTACTTCGTGGAGTTATTAAATATCCATTTATACTAGCATGTAGGGTATCAAAGTACAGATATTATCTTTTTGAACGCACATACATCAAAATAATACATGTAAGCTGGGTATCCATGGTAACAAGAGCTCTTTTGTGAAAAAAACCAGTTCTTTAATCGGTGCAGTCACTGATTTCTCATGAAGGATGTATCGTCTATAATGTCACTGTGATACTGATCTTGTAAATTGGTTATAACCTCTGTATAACATTTATAGCAATACTTATTGCGAGTATGTGACTGCTATAGAATATTGACAGTAAAGTTTTCTCCACCCCCTGTCAGATTTTGCTGCCAAGACAAAAAATCTGGTTAAATGTCGTCCCATAGTTCCTGTCCTCAGGTTATGGTTACCTTAGGCAGAAGTGTACATAAAACTGAATCCCAGTTTTATGCAGTATACCATAATTGTAACTTATGAATTTGGTGTACTAAATAAAGCGCCAACAAGGCATGTTCCTTAGACTCTCATGGCCTAATTGTTATAATGTAGGAAAACTTAGACAAACTGTTCTGTTATGTCTCCAAAACATATTCCAATAAAATTTGTAGTGTCACAAATTAGTCAGAGTCACTGTCTGACTCATCAGAGGAGGAACAGTACTTCGTTTCATCTTCCTCCTCATTAGCCATATCTGTACCCACGTTATCATCAATGTGGAGGCATACATCTTCTGGGACCTGTTGCCCTTCAAACCAGTAAATAACATAGCGCCCGTTCTCTAGCAGCCATCCATTTTCTTCTGGAGCCCACTTGTACGATTCTGGGGTAATTGCGTTTTTCAACATTGATGCTACCAGATTTGCACGCTTCAATTTCTCCAAGAGCACAGATTTGCATGGAGGCAAATTACTAGGGTCGGTTCCTTTGATTTTATGCAAAGGCTGAGATTTTTGTTTTGGTGCAAAATGCTGATCAAATAGCATATGTCTGGCTGTATTCACTGATGTTAGGTTGGGCTTCCCATACATGCTACAAACAAAGGCCTCCATGTCTGTTAACAGATCTGATGATATGTGAGCTGAATCTCCCAATTTGGCGAATGCTGCGATGAACCATTGTTCCTTTTCCATTAAAGCCAAAGGGCGGACTTTACCTTTGCGTACAAAACTAGCTGTGTAGTCACATCCTGTGAAGGCATGGAGTCCTGACAGGGCACCACACAAGGCTGTGAGCTAACTGGGATACATCTATATATCGCCTGGTGTTGTTAGTACTTACACCAACGTCGAGCCATAGCTGTCCTGGTATGACATGGGCATGCGTAAGCAAAATTATAAGAACATCAGTGTCAGAGGACCGGATAATGATGTTACCACCTTTGTAGGACTCGCACATATGCTTAACATGCCAGATCAACCGAGTATCTGCCTCCTCGTGGTTGCAGACCAGGCTGGGGACCTCTTGCACGTGAATACTGTCATCCTTTACATCATATTGATAGGCTTTGTCATCCAGTCCTACAAATAGCGTGTAGCCTCGGATCTGCTCAATGTATGATGTTCTCTTCCATTCCTTTACAAGGAAGTGTAGGAGGGCTGTTTTGAAATTCGCGGACTTGAGCGAGGCATTGAAATCCTTTGGGCGCTTCTGGTCAGGACCAGAGATAATGAAGTTGGTATGTGTAGCATCAGATCCACGGATACCATGCTCGATATCTTTGATGGATGGGGTTTTGTATGAATCACATACAAAGTCTACCCTTTTGGCAAATCCCAACAACCGTGTCAGAACAAGTTTGGCAATTTCACCAAATGTGGCTGGTACATTGACTAGAGTTCGTATGAGAAACATTGCATCAATGGCACATGCATCCCGACTCACTGGTTTGCTACTTTTCACTCTTTCTTCCAACTTATGCATCAGTTTTGACTTGTCCGTTTTGTTAACAGACCCATCCACCTGTGGGAGTAATACAGAAAAATAACAACAACAACCATATATTCATGCTATGCTTGAATATTTTTCAACAATTCAATCAATCAACAATAATACAATATATATATATATATATATATATATATATATATATATATATATATATATATATATATATATATATATATATATATATATATATATATATATATATATATATATATATATATATATATGTATCTTAGGGGATCCGTGAGAAATAATGGACAAATGTTCTCATATTTTGGCAAATAGCACTCCTGTAACCATGGATACTGAGCTTACATGTATTATTTTTAATGCCTATGTGTTCAACAACATAATATCTTTATTTTGATACCATACATGCTAGTATAAATGGATATTTAATAACTCCACGAAGTAAAAACATTGGTTTATACTTTTCCCCAAAATAGGGTATAAAAACAACAAAAAACACTGTTTTTCTCCAAAAACGCAGCAGCTGCGGCAATTAAGAAATGGATTTTCAGATTCAGCATAAAATTCTGATTCAGAAACGACCCTCAAACCTTTTGGCCTCAGACACATGATTAAAAGTGCCTGGGCTCTTGGACTATACCGTGTGCTTGTCTCTCCTGCATGCTGTTCTGCCTTATTATATATTAGCATACATAATATCATTCAGTCAGTCAGGTTTTAAACATTTTCTTAGGTAATAGAATGCATTTATTTATAAACAAACTTAGGTATATCGTAAAGTCAGTAAATTATTGTAATTTACAGTAGCTCAGGTAGTACGATATAGCACAGTCAGTCAGCCATCACAAAGAATTAACTTGGGTAGTAACACACAGACAATGAGTTACAATACATTACCTGAGGTGGTAGCGTATACTCAGACAGTTGTTATGTATTAGAGTGGTATTATACTGTGAGTTAGTTATAATATAAACATCTAGGATAGTATTATAGTCAACCATTTATTCTACTTTAGTTGACAGAGTTTGAGATGCAATATAGTGTAGACTTAAGTTAAGCGTATGTTGTATAGGTTGTGTCCAGCCTCTAATGTTAGGCCTCACCCCTTGCCTACAAGTCAAACCAGTCGTATATAACACCAACCATCCACATAGGGAAGGTAACCATGTATCTGAGGTCTGAGTGTTGACTTATAATGTTACAGTCAGTTGAGAAATATTATATAAAGAGAGTATATTAGCCCTGTATCCTCAGTTCTCACTACAGTTGGACGTCGTTAGAGCTTATCCCTGATAGCTCCGTCCTTCCTATAGCCCTCACAGTTACAGTGACTCTTACGGTGGTTATCCTATGAACAGTGTATATAGACTATTTTGATAATAAACTAAGAAAAGGATCACATTGGGTTTTGCTACTAAAACCCAATAAACATTTATCTATGTTCTAGTTCGGCTAGAACATAAGGTAGCTGCTTCACAAGTGCCTGTTACGAGTGTGACCATCCAGCAAGTTTGGTACATGTATGACAGCTTCACAAGTAGTTGTCATATAACAAGTAACAGACACACAAAGGTTACACAGTCAGTAACAGTCTCAAGTAACAGTTACACAGTTGGTAATGGAAGAGTTAAAGTGTTCTCTCCTTCACTGTGTTACACTGTTACCAGAAGTTATCGCCACAAAGGTGGCAGCTCAAAATGACCCCAGTCTCCAAAACACAATGATAGTCAAGGTTAACATATCCACTGTTCCTGTGTTATCCATTGTTAAATAGAATTATATTGTTACACAAGTGGCACGCAGCTGAAGGTGACCTCGGTCTCCAAATTGCACATTGGTAAAAGCCGAGGTAATCATAGCTCCTGTTCCTGAGTAATACACTATTAAAAAGTTTTATTGTTACATACGTTACAAAAAGTTACAAAAGTGGCATTGAAGCTTTAGAGGACCGACTCTAGAAACAGTCTAAAAGACCCAGTCTAAAGGACCAGTCTCCAGTCTACAGGCGACAGTTAGTCAAGTATACTCTAAGTAACTGTGACAATTTTTTTTTCCTTAATTTTATTTTTTGTAAGTGCACGTGGAAATATACCGTCGTGAGATGTATTATGTTGAGTGATACTCATTTTATCATCCAAGATGATGTACATTGTTTTTTTTATCAATAAACATTGAGTTATTGATAATTGCGATTATTCTGGCAACATATCCTGTGAGCGTTCTTTTGTGCAAAGCCTTCGTTCACTGTCACAGAACGTGACTGTAGTTCTTGTGACTACTCATCAATCAACATCCTGTCAGCAACATTCTTTCGCCAAGGGCGAAGAACACCCCAGGCAACCCCCCTAGGTGGTGCCACCCTCAGTCTCGGACCTCAAGGTTCTTGAGACTGACTCAGCATTAGCAGACAACACCAGCTGTGGATGTACTATCGTGCACAAAAGTCGTGTCCACTACCCATCCACAGTGAGGGTTCGAATAGCCTCAAGTCCGAAGTTTCGAAACAGCTGGGGTAAATGCGATGGTCGGCCAACAGATGTCGCCCACTGTAGTGTGTGTGTGTGGGGAGGGGGGGAGGGGGTAAT